TAAGGAAAGAACACAAGAATCTGCCTAGAAATGTATGAATACATGTATATGCATAGAACCAAATTCATTATTTTGACTCATAATGACCACCAATGGGTTCCGGAGGCAGTAAATCAGTATGGAAATAGATTGCCCCATCTTCCTTCTGCCGAGTGGGTGGTGGGTTTGAACCACCAACTTTCTGGTTAGCAGTCAAATGCCTTAGGCACTGCACCACTAGAACTCCATACACACACACACACACACACACACACCCCTACCCCAGGGGTGGTGGATGTTTAATATGAACTAGATATATTTTCAGGTATAGGATTACAGCTGTCACTCCAATTTATTTACTTTCTAAATTTAGATCTTGCTATACTGGGTTTTCTCAAAGTAAGTACCCCTGTGGTCCCTAAAACACAAAATTTAAGGAAAAGACTTCTGGGTCACGCAATACAAGATTTGTGGAAGATCCTTTATATTGATAAACTTTTTGTAAGTTCTAAATAATCACTACACAGAGTAAGATTTCTTGATTGCCAAACATATACTATTTTTTTTTCCAGTGAAAGATCCTTTACAATTCAAGGCAAAAAGGTTTCTTTATTGAACTTAGACTTTGAATTTCCTGAGTTCCTGCTGACATTTGAACACATAAAATATCCCATTAAAATGGCTTTTCTTTGTTCATAATTATAGGCACAGATCAGAAAAACTTTCAGAAAGACAGTTTATTATTCTGAGCACTCTGTGTTGTTATGAATGTCAGTTATTTCTATTTAATTTTATGAACAACTTTGTACAAATCATCATTTGCTAGCAGTCTTTTTTCCTTTCTGATGGGCCTAGAATTCTGGCAATGTTTGCTATGATCTAGATGCAAAACACCTTACGGATGTGTTTCAGTATTCTTTTGGATTGTTCACCTAAAATTATTATTACAGTCATGTTTTACCACTTTGTTTACTTTAGAAACTTGCTTCCCAGGATCCCCTTTCTTTTGAGCTTTTTGGGTTATGTTATATAAAAAGACATCATTTTAAGTACAAGAGCCTATGTAGTAATTGGTTCACTTGTAATCAATGACTACATGTTATTTATCCACTCAGTGGAAAAGCAGGAAATTATCAAAAAATTCATGAAAGCTCTGGTAGCATAGTGGCTAAGACACTTGCCTGCTAACCAGACGGCTGGCGGTTCAAACCCACCAGCCACTCCTTGGAAGGAAGGTTGGGCAATCCTACTTCCGTAGTGATACTGCCTCGGAAACCCAAGGAGGGGTCGCTATGAGTCAGGTTTGACTCGATGGCACATAACAACAACAACAACAACAACAAAAAAAAATTATGAAACTGAACACTTTTTTGATGAGAGCTCCTCAACACAAGAACAATTTTCTCCTTGTTCTTTTCAGATGATATTTTTCTCTCTTATCTTTAAATAGCTCATAGTTTTTAGAAGGATAAAGGATTTATAGCTTTTGTATCCAGGAAGCATCTTTGGGAACAGTGAGAGAGATCCGGGTTTGAGCTCCAGGGAAAAAAAAGGTAAGGAGGCAGGTTTTTTTTAGGAACTGAGAATCCTCTCAATCTTAGGAATAGCTTGCCAACCAAGTGTCCAGGGTATCTGGTGGAGTTTGTTGCAACACATGCTCTTAACATACCTGAGGAAAAGGGTGGCCTGGGGGTTCCTCTTAGTTGTCACAGCAAAGTAAATTCATGACCAAACTTTTGCTGAGTTGGGATGAGAGATCTAGATACTTTGAATTTTTCTGTTTCAATGTTTTGTATTTGTTTTCTTTTCCCCTAGTTTTCTGAGAAGTGTTCTTGAAAGAGTTCCAAATTCAGGGGAGCAAGGATAATCAGAATGGTGGAAAGGCCAGTGGTAGAAGCAGCGCTCACAATAAGAGCCACAGTCCTGTCCCCTGATCCATGTAAGCACTTGAGAGACTTTAATGAAGCAGGTTCAGGGGAAGCTGAGGATACGAGAGTCTCCCTTGATGGTCCTATGACTGGGTAAATGAAATCATTTAGTGACATTCTGAGAAAAGATACATTTCACCTTGTGCAGAGAGAGCTGGGACATGCAGGTGAATAGGAGGGACCTGCAGCCCCTGCCTGTGGTTTACCATCTAAAGGCTCAGCCCTATCCAGTTACTCAGCAAACCCTGATCTGGGCAGGAAGTGCATTTCTGGAGCATCAGGCAGTGTTCTCACCCATAATTTGGCTCAGTTGTGGTTTTCACTCCTCTCCACTGACTCGTCCATTGAAATAAAGAATAGTATCTTATAGATTAAGGAGCTCTGTTAGCACAGTGCCTAAAGTATCTGACTGCTAACCAGAAGGTCGGTGGTTCAAACCCCCACAGCCACTCTGCAGAAGGAAGACAGGGCAATCTACTTCTGTAAAGATTTACCACCTCAGAAACCCAATAGGGGCTGCTATGAGTTGGAATCAACTCAATGGCAGTGGGGTTGGGTGAACTGTTTTTGGATCGTACAGATTGGCCTTCTCAACTTCTGAGAGAAGAGGTTGATTCTCAAAATACCAAGGTTGAACAGCTGTTGAGAAGAAATAGCGCAAGTAGTGATTGAAAGGGGTGGTGGCTGGGAGGTACGTGAGGTGCATTTGTAAAGGTTCAGAGTAACTTCAGGTTGCAACAGAGTCATTGCAGCCTGGTGCACTGTTGTTTCAGCTCCTTTCCACAAATTCCTAGTTTTAGATATTGTTCAGTCATGCAGAATGCCCACTGCTGATTGATGCTAGCTTGGCATCAATGTCTCATTCATTCATTCTTTTAGTGATTTCTTTTCCCAAACTTTCAGCTTCACTTATAGGCAAAGAATGATCTATTGGACAAACCAAAACAATTGTAAGGAAAGGCTTATTTTCTCTTGTTTCCTCTGATTATTTTACCATCTACCTTGAATCCATGATAGAACTGAACTTCTCATATATTAAAATGTAGTGAATTTTCCAGGTAAACTGTTACTTGAGACCTTTCCTTTTCCTCCTACCTATCAACGATTTGGCAACAATCGATCTAAAAACATATTCATAATGCAAAGGGGGGAAGATAGATGCAGGTTTTCGGTGTGTTGCTCAGTTCCAAAGCGACCTTATCTGTGTAAATGAGCTGTCTGAGGCATAAAGTTAAGGAATTTTCATTTGAGCTTAAATAGTGTTCAAAAGAGCAGTTGTTGAAAATAATAGTGCTATTGTAATAGCTCAAAGAACTGAGTGTCACCTAGGTCTGTGCAGAGACAGCTGTATTGCAATTCTACTCTTACCAAGTCTCAGCTTCAGTTATAACCTGTTTTTAGGGAAAGGAGGGATCCTTGGAATAGAGGAATAATGTCCCAATATTTTTCCTTTAATATTTTGCAGATAGGTAAATACTCAAAAGAAATAACCCAGAGTTTAAGAAGAAAAACAATATATACTTAAAAATTCTATATGTTGTTATATATTCTATAGAGTGTCACCAAATTAAAAACACAGACATGTAATTGAAATCCCTGCTTACAGAATACTCTAGTGAAAAGGTTGTAAAGTGAGAATTTAATAAGTGCCAGTTCCTTGCTGAACTCGAACTTTTAATGCCTTAGAAGATACATAAAGCTGAAACGACTCAATATTTAACCTCCTCTTGACAAAAGAAATCCAAACGTCTCTAGGGGCCTGAATATCTGTGTCAAAGCTTGATCAGGGGACCCCAAAAAATCTGATGCTGTATCAAAAGCCTCTCCTCTTCTTTATGTTTTTAGTCCAATGCTGTCCATGACTTAACAATGTACTGTGTCCACATTATATTAAGGCCCACGTACCATCTAAGACAGGCAGCTCTAAATGTTTGGAAGCCACCTGCGTAATGAAGTAGCAGTGTTTCTTATTATAATGCCTGAGCCTCTTCAATATTCTTGTTTTTTCCCCTGTCACCTGCTATTACTCTACTGCTCTTACTTCAGGGTGAAATTAGGCGGATTGGCCTTTGTATTCTTCCCCAGGGGAGATACGAGACCATGTTTTAAAAAAATGCTTAAGCAATTATTCCAGTTCTTTTCTGTTATGTTCCATCTGCAGGTTGAGTCTCAGAATATGGACCCACATTCTCTTATCTAGAACTTTTGGACCAGATATATTTTGGATTTCATTTTTTTTAGATATGGTACCCAAAGCATATATTATACAAAACCTTCAGTGGCATCTGATCCAGCATTTTGTTATCAAATCAATATTTCTGTAGAGAAATCTATGAATTTTCACAATCAATGAAAAATATATAAAGTCTGTAAATAGCCTTCAATCAATTCAGGTCAAGCTTTACCATCAAATGAGTTTTGGAGTCAAACTGGCAAAAAAGTTTTTAGTTGTTAGGGTATTTTGGATTTGGAAATTGAGAATAAGGGATTGTAGACCTGTACCAGTTTTTCAAAGAGTTAAAACAAATTAATCTACTTGTGCTTAGAGAAGGAAGCAGAGAGAAGTATCACAAATAACCCACAAAGGCCTTTCAAAGTGATCTTTTAGACACAGAATTTTATTATTTTGAGCAGGATTTGAGATAAAATGAGTTGTTCTTGTTCTTGGCTCCTGTCATATGACCATGACATAGTCTGTCCCTCAGAGTTGGTCTGTGACAGGGCTGTTGTCATGGAATCTGAGCTGCCTCACTGCTATGCAGGGAAAGGGAACAAAAGTGGGCAGACCTAACCTCCCTGAGACTCCCAGGAACATTCCCAGACCAGAATCAAAACCTCAACTAGACAATAGTGTTGGAGCCAACTGGCATGCTTGTACTATGACTCCATAATAAAGTAACAGCATAGTTGGCCTTTTTTAACAATATAAAAAACCAAAAAATTGCTTTTTTCATTAACATAGGGGAAATATATTTTTAAAGCTCTAATCTTTGAAATTTTAAAGATGGGGTTTGGAATATTGTATTTTGGGTTATTATGCTAGGGAGGAGGGGCTGTCACCAGTAAAGAAGACATATAGAGATCAAGGCTTACTTGGCTTCCAGCGCCAATGCAATGATGCCTGCAGCCATGGGGGCTGAGGCTGATGTCCCAGTATGGTTGTCCGTGCATCGCTGCCTCAGATCTGTAGTGATCTAGAACACAGAAGCGAAAAAGTTTAGGTCTCTGAAGTCAAAGTGAGTCACATACAATTTTTATCAGTGAAGAAATTCACTCATAAAAGTGGAAGAGAAGTGGTATTGAAATAAAGCAACAAACCAAACTCACTGCCATTGAGTCAATTCTGACTCAGTGAACCTCATAGGGTTTTCAAGGCTGTAAATCTACAAAAACAGACTGTCTCATCTTTCTTCCACAGAGCAGCTGGTGGATTTGAACCACCAACCTTTTGGTTAGCAGCCAAATGCTTTAATCACTGCACCACGAGAGCTCCTTATATATGTGTTTTAAATCCTTTATTCCTGCTCCTGTGATCATCTAACTAATGAAGAATCACCTGTGCAAATAAACTTCAAAAGGGGAAAGGTTAGGAAGTCAGACTCTATGTCTGTTAGAACCACGGTTGAACCTAGGATGACACAAGTGAGCCACCAATGGCTCAAAACCTAAGGATCGTGCAAGTGCCCCATTAATAATGTACCCAGGCACCTCCTCAGGAGCTCTAGTGGTGCAGTGGTTAAGGCATTCCTCTGCTAACCAAAAGGTTGGTAGTTGAAACCCACCAGTTACTCTGCAGAAGAAAGATGAGGCAGTCTGTTTCTATAAAGGTTTATAGCCTTGGGTACCCTATGGAGACAGTTCTTCTTTGTTCTATAGGGTTGTTATGAGTCAGAATTGAATTGATGACAGTGGTTTTGGTTTTCTGGTTTAGGCACCTCCTCACTTGCCTTGCTCTCAAGTCCTGGCACTGGTTAAAACTAGATCCTTTCGGTGCTTCTTTCCTAGCAAACATGTATCAAAAACCAGTTACTGGGTTAGGCATTAGTAAAAGGAAGGTAAAAGGTAGTGGCCCCTGTTCTCCCAGGACTGTTACCTTAGAAAAGCCACAGATTTGATACAAAATGTATACTTTGAAAAAGAAGGAAATTTTGACTGTGGATCTATTTCTAGAATTCACAGAAATGTTGCATGGATAAACAAAGACTTCCTTAATGATTTGACACAAGTACTAAAACAAATGGTTGAACCCTGGGTGCTGATAGGAAATTATAATATGAAGTACATATTTTAGAAAATTAGCCATTTCTCTCTCTCTGTCTCTTTTTTTTTGAGTGAAAAAGTCAAAACTAGATCTTTTTTTTTTTTTTTTTTTCATTTTGGCTTGAATCCAGCTCACTTCAACTGTGTATGACAGAATATCAATTCAGAGAGGGGAATGTTTCTCAACCTAGTTGCATTATCATCCCACTAGGCATAAAAAAAGCAAATTTAAATTCTACCTAACAAGAAAAATTAAATACTATTGAATAAGATATTGTAAGCCATTGTAGTATCTTAAGTTTTTTTTCAATCCTTCATCTTCTGCAAAAACCAATTTCCCTCCTTGGGGGTGATATTGCCCTAGTTGAGAAAGTGCAAGGCTAACTGGCTTGGTAAATACTTTACTGGTCTCATTCTAGTTATTGAAAGAAATTAGTAAAGCTTTCTTGGGAAGTAAGACAAGTTTATTGTTCATATTTCTCAGTTAAGAAAACTGAGATGAAAGATCACCAGCAGAAAGGTGAAGAGATAAGGTAGATGAAAATAAACTCATCTTTCTAAGATGCTGCCTTTTAAGGAGTGTGAATATTAGTTGAACTTGGTTAGGAAAAATATTTGATCTCCACAAGAAGAAAGCACTATGTGACTCTGAAGAGATGGCGCCTCCCTGAGTATTTTCTTCAGTGCCACATGAGGATGTCTGAGTGGACACTGTCTGTTATGGAGCTTGATTGATATCCTGGCTATTTTAAGTTCATGCAAGGTCACCATTCTCAGTGTCTTTTTTGTTCCTTTTGACACCTTAATAGGTCTTCAAAGTATTGTTGTTGTTGTTGTTGTTGTTATGTGCCATCGAGTCAGCCCTGACTCATAGCGACCCCTCCTTGGGTTTCCAAGGCAGTATCACTACGGAAGTAGGATTGCCCAACCTTCCTTCCGAGGAGTGGCTGGTGGGTTTGAACCGCCAGCCGTCTGGTTAGCAGGCAAGTGTCTTAGCCACTATGCTACCAGAGCTCCCCTTCAAAGTATAGGCAACCACAATGATGTGGATGGAGTAAAGCTTTTAAGACCTTCATTTGCTCATGTGGCATGACTCAAAAATGAGAAGAAACAGGGGCAAATACCCAGTCATAATCAGAACATGGAATGTATTAAGTATGAATCTAGGAAAATTTGAAGTTGTCATAAATGAAATGGAACTCATAAATATCCATATCCTAGGCATCAGTGAGCTGAAATGGATTGGTATTGGCCAGTTTGAACTGGACAATAATATGATATACTATGTGAGAATGACAAATTGAAGATGAATGGTGTCACACTGATCATCCAAAAGAACATTTCAAGATCAATCTTGATGTGCAATGCTGTCAGAGATAGGATAATATTCATAGGCCTACAAAGAAGACCTGTTAACACAACTATTATTCAAATTTTCAAACCAAGTAATGACAAAGATGAAGAAAATTGGAGATTTGCACTCATAATCACTGGTGATTGTAATGCAAATTTGGAAACAAAGAAGAAGCATTAGCAATTGGAAAATGTGGCCTTGGTGATAGAAATGACATCAGCTATCACATGATAGAATTTGCAAGACCAATAACTTATTCATTGCAAATAACTTTTTCAAAAACATAAATGACTATACACATGGACTTCACTGCATGAAAAACATAGAAATCAAATGACTGCATCTGTGGAAAGAGAAGATGGAGAAGCTCACTATCAGCAGTCACAATAGATGGCCAGAAACTGACTATGGAACAGATCATCAACTGCTCCTATGTAAGTTCAAGTTGAAGCTGAAGGAAATTAAAACAAATCCATGAGAAGCAAAACATGACCTTGAGTTTATCCCATCTGAATTTAGAGACTATCTCTAGAATAGATTTGATGCATTGCACACTAATGACTGAAGACCAGATTAGTTGTGATATTGCATCAAGGACATCATACATGAAGAAAGCAAAAGATCATTAAAAATATAGTAAAAAAGAGAAAAAGAAAATGGATGTCATAAGGGACTCTGAAACTTGCTCTTGAGTGAAGACTAGCTAAAGTGAAACAAAGAAATGATGAAGCAAAAGAGCTGAACAGAAGATTTCAAATGGCAGCTTGAGAAGACAAAGTATTATAATGAAATGTGCAAACACCTAGAGTTAGAAAACCAAAAGACATTTCTCAAGCTGAAAAAACTAAAGAAAAAAAATTAAACTTTGAGTTGTAATAATACTGAAGTATTCTATGGGCAAAATATTGAAGGATACAGGAAGCATCAAAAAAAAATGGCAGGAATACACAGAGTCACTGTACCAAAAAGAATTGGTTGACGCTCAACTCTTTCAGGAGGTAGCAAATGATCAAGAACCAATGGTACTGAAGGAAGCTATCCAAGCTGCACTGAAGGCACTGGTGAAAAACAAGGTTCCAGGAATTGGCAGGATACCAAGTCAGATGTTTCAACAAATGGATTTAACACTGTAAACACTCACTTCACTATGTCAAGATTTTTGGAAGACAGCTACCAGCCAATAAACTGCATGAGATTCATATTTGTGCCTATTCCAAACAAAGGTGATCCAAAAGAATACAGAAATTATCAAACAATATAATTACTATCACATGCCAGTAAAATTTTGTTGAAGATGATTCAAAAACGAATGTAGCAGTACATTGACAGGGATTCATAAGAGAATGTGGAACAAAGGATATTACTGCTGATGTCAGATGGATCTTGGCTGAAAGCAGAGAGTACGAGAAAAATGTTTATCTGTGTTTTATTGATTATGCAAAGATACTCCACTATGTGGATCATAAAAAATTATGGAAAACATTGAAAAGAATGGGAATTACAGAATATTCAATTATGCTCCTGCACAACTTAGACATAGACCAAGAGGCAGTCATTTGAACAGAACAAGGGGGTACTGTGTGGTTTAAAAGCAGGATAGATGTGTGTCTTGGTTGTATACTTTCACCATATTTATTTAATCTCTATGTTGAATAAATAATTTGAGACGCTGGGCTGTATAGAGATGAAAGCAACATTAGGATCGGAGGAGGACTCATTAACAACCTGAGAAATGCAGATGACACAACCTTGCTTGCTGAAAGTGAAGAGGACTTGAAGCACTTACTGATGAAGATCAAAGATTACAGCCTTCAGTATGTATTACACCTCAATAAAATGAAAACAAAAATCCTCACAACTGCACCAATAAGCAACATCATAATAAATGGAGAAAAGATTGAATTTGGCAGCAATTTCATTTTACTTAGATCCATTATCAACACGTTTGGAAGCAGCAGTTAAGAAATCAGATGTCCTATCACACTGGGCAAATCTGCTGCAAAAGACTTTTGACCTTAAATGGGATTTAAAGTCTTTTGACCTTAAATGGGATGTTAGAATCCCTTATGACATCCATTTTGTTTTTCTCTTTTTACTATCTTTTTAATGATCTTTTGCTTCCTTCATGTATGATGTCCTTGATGCAATCTCACAACTAATCTGGTCTTCAGTCATTAGTGTGCAATGCATCAAATCTATTCTAGAGGTGGTCTCTAAATTCAGATGGGATAAACTCAAGGCCAAAAGCAAAGAGCAAAGATGTAACTTTGAAGACTAAGGTGCACTTAACCCAAACCATGGTATTTTCAATCACCTCACAAGCATGTGAAAGCTGGACAATAAATAAGAAAGACCAAAGTTTGGATGCATCTGAATTATGGTGCTGGCAAAGAATAGTGAATATACCATGTACTGCCAAAGAATTAAAAATTTGTCTTGGAAGAAGTATAGCCAGAATGCTTGTTAGGAGCAAGGTTGGAGAGACTTCATCTCATGTACTTTGGATATGTTATCAGAAAAGACTAGGCCCTGGAGAAGGACATCTCTCTTGGTAAAGCTGAGGGTCAGCGCAGAAGGGAA